TTGGACTTGCTTCCGATGTTCGCTTTGGGCGCTCTACTGTCCCGAGCTGCTTGCCTTTGCCACGTGTTGGGCGATCGCGAGGTCGGGCCAAATTTCCCTTCATCAGGTAGGGTTGCCGTCCTTTTGAATGTGTGTCTAAGTAACAGTTGTGCAGGCTGTTCCTTGCTTTTGCTGTTTTAGTCAAGGCTACAAAACAAAGGTGTGGGGGTTCTCTTCAGACTCTCTCTCTTTCTCTTCATTCCACAATACAGATAAAAATGAGTTCACATCTGGGACACCCCACTACCGATAACAGTACGGGAGGTGATAAGAGATCATCGAGAGATGTTTCCAATACAAGGTGGGGATATGCTGTGGGATGCTCCCGTGGGGTGCAGATGTGAATTCGATAAAAATGATTTGTCTTTTTATATTTTATTTATGGTTCATTTTTTTGTGGGTTTTCTTAAATTTCTTGTTTTAGATAGAATCTAATAAAACAAGAATTGAAGCTCTTAGGTATTTTGTATTTTGTTTATGTGCGCTCAAGTTGTTTTTCTTAGTGGAAATGCTTTAAAGTTTGTAAGCTTCTCACTTCCCACTTGATATATTTCTAAATTTTAGAAAAAGGAAAGCATTTTTGGCTTCTGTTGAGCTTTATTTTGAAATAATTTTGGAGAATAAATAATAAAGGGAAAAATTTTTCACAAAAGGGTAATGGTGTCATACTTGAACAGATTAACAAAACTCTAACGGTAAAGAAGGATTTAGTTATTTATCATAACACTTAGGCTATGTTTGGTTTGAAGGAAAAGGTAGGGAAAGACAGAGAAATCAATACAAGGTTTGTAAAAGTTTTCCTGCCTCCCCTTCTTTTCTTTACATTTTCCTTCAAATCAAACATAACCTTACTGATACTTTTAAAACAATTTCTAAACAAATAGGGATGGGTAAATCAATTTCGGAATATTTAAAGAGGTTTGAAAAAAAAGAGTAAATGGTCTTTCACTGTGGATGATACGACCACATCTCTTGTTTTAAAAAAGTTTTTTTTTGTTATTTTGCATGAGCATGAGGTGGCTTTAATAAAACGGGATTTCCTACTCTCTTTTCCTATCCATTCTTGCTGCAATTTACGGCGAGATCTGCTCTTCATAAATGGGCGTCTCACATGCACATCCACCGTACATTGGGAACATCTCCCGTAAATAATAGCTAATAAGTTTAGGAGATATTCTCAATACATGGTAGGATATGCGTGTGAGGCGCAAGTGTGAGGAACAGATCCGGTCTTATTCACGGCGGGTAGAGAGAGTGAGTAGAAGAAAATCTGGATTCGGCTTTAACAACCACCGTGAACGGGACAGTTTCCACTTTACGTAAAAATGTCAATGCAATTTGGACAACGATCGGATTACACTTTAATAGCCAAGTGTCAAGACTCGAGAGTCGAGACCTACTCTACTCGTCGTGTTATCATCTCATCTGGCTACTTTAATGCTTGAAAAGTGATGAGTCGTTGAGTCAGTCACCTTGTGAAGCTTGAGACGAGGGTCGGTGATGACGCCGGCGGCATCGGTAGTTAGGAATTGCTTAGCGATGTAGTAAACGACGGTCTCGTAACCTTTGGGATCTGCGACGAAGTAGAGATCCTCTCCGAAGTTCGAAAACGTCGGCAGTGGTTCCGTGTTCTGCAAGCTCGTCACCCGCGGTGGCTCTGCAAACTCGTAATCGTAGGTGTAGTAGTCCACCGCCATATCGATCGGCGTATACGGAACCCTGCCATTCTCGTATGTCAAATCCAACCGTTAGATGCTGCACGCACACCCATTATCATTAAAACAACAAACAGAACAATAAGGTTTCAGACTTTCAGTCCTTCATTCTTCAAAGTACTGCACCACCTCCGTTTCTTCCTGTTGCAAGAAAGTGAGACAGCTTTCAAGTGAAAGATGGTCACGTTAACGTAAACATTCCGTCAGCTGTTTCTACACCCAACATGGATGATGGTGAAGTTTTTTCTTTTCGCTCAGTTTGGTAAGAGTACAAATACAAATATATGTACTGTATAAATACATATCAAATAATACAGAATATAAGATTTTGCACTAAAAAATGTACTGTACTGTACAAATATATGTAATGAATACCAATATAAATACAAATATTGGTATTCATTCTGGTAATAAAAGAAGAAACGAATAAACTATATTTCACATAAAAAATTGTGTGCAAAAAGAACCCTTCCCATGTCTATTATAGCCCCTACCCTCTAGATACAGGTGTCTAAAGTGATAATTTCCGTTACAAATAAAAGTCTATTCACTCACAAAAAAGTGATAATATTCTAATCCTTAAAATGTGGCCACTTTAAATGTTATGATAGTAAATGAATTTTATTCAAATACAACCATTTCAAAAGTAAYATTCACTAACTTAAAAATATTTAAAATATTAAATGAATAAAAATAAAATAGGTAAAATGCAAATTCCTCCCGTAAAGTTTTTGACAATCATAAAAACCTCTTCTTTAATTTCACTTTAAATTTTAAAAAAATTGAACAAAACCTCCCTTCCATCACTAATCCCAACGGAAAACATGCATCAACTTTTCCAAATACCCATGTTACCCTAACAAAGTTGGCAACAACATACCCAAAATCGCTATTGTATCTTCGTTCCACTCAACCTTTTTCAGTCCTAGTCCTACACTCCCCCAAGTGAGCTAGCTCTCTTCTTCTTCTTCTTCATTCAAATAATGCAATTCTTCTCGATGGCCACTAGAACAATAGCCCTCTCTCTCCTCTTTCTTTTAAGCCGGGGTCACAGATGCACACAATATCATATGCATCCCAGCAAAGTACCCCGAATTCTCGATCTTCAACCAATACTTAACTATATATCACTCACCTCACCGTAGAGATCAACAAATGCGAGACCATCGCAGTTTGTGTAGTCGACAATGGCAACATGTCAGACCTCTTGTCCAAGCACCTCTCCATCTACAACATCAAATTATCGAAAACATCCTATCCCTTCATGTTCTCCTCTATTATTTTGGTGCATAGAAGTTGCATCAAATTACAAACAATGCGGTCTTGACTTCCACCATGTTCCAAGCCACTAGATCCACCCCCAGCTCTTCTGGCTTCATCAACATCACCGATCTCAAAGGCGGCAAGGTTGACTTTGGTGCCGAATCCAACCACGACAACCTAGACACCACCTTCGTCAAATCTGTAGAGGAGATCCCATACAACATCTCCAACATCGGTGCTTAAGGTTGCTAAGTCTCCCAAGGCACCGAAACATGCATCACCATCGGTACCAGAGTCGTCCATGTCCCCGAATGGTGAACTGTTTGATCAAACGGTGGCTGACAACAACACCATTGTTAGATTTAACGGTGAGAGATGGATGATAGCGATTTTGGATTTGTTGCTGCCGACTTTGTTAGGGTAAAATGGGTATTTGGAAAATCTAAGGGAGGATTTTGTGATAGAAGGGAGTTTTTTGTTGAGTTCTTTAAAAATCTAGGGGAGGATTTTGTTGAAGTAAAACTAAAGGGGAGGTTTTTATGATTGTCATAATCTTCAGGGGAGGTTTCTGTATTTTACTCAAATAAAAATAAATAAAATTCATAAAAATGACTAAATAATTAATACAAATGGTATGAGTTTCATTCTTTTAGATGAAATAGTATTGCAAACTAGATTTAACTTTTTTGGAAGTGTAACCTAAATTAGCTTTTAAAAATAAATAATAAATACCAATTAAAGTAGGTTACTGCTTACAAATAAGAACTAATTTAATATTTTAAATCATATTAAAAACAACATAGATTAATAGTGGTTTTCAAACAAAGTAGACCAGAATAGACTGTCAATTACAAAGATGTAAAACCCATGTTAATTTTTCTAATTTAATTTTTTATAGTTAAATAATACATTTCAGATTAAATGATACCGTAGTGACACCTTAGTATGGGGTCATTATCTAGATAAAACATGTTTACTCTCTTACATCAAATTAAAAGCCTAACCTAAATGCCTAATATAAATAATTTAAAAAATTAAGATAATTCAGATTAATGGTCCCGTACTTATACTTAGTACGGGGTTATTCTTAGTGTATCTTAGTAGGAATCTTAACGTTACCAAAAAAAGTAGGAATCTTAATAGGCTCATGGCCTGTATAACCCCTCCCAACCTTGGGGTTTTTTCAACTCGTTTTTCTTTAATTGCATAGATCCTATAGGGTTTGGTTTGGTTCCGGTTCTTTAATATTTTTTGTCGGATCTTCTCCAGTTCTATCCAGATGAACCGTTGACGGCTCTCTCTCTCTCTCTCTMTATATACCTTATTTTGAAAGCAACTAAACAAAACAAGTTGATTTTGTTTCGGATGACTTAAAAAAATGGTTCTATATACATCGGGTCAAAACAAGTTAACGGTTCTATATATTCAGACGTCTTAAAAAACAATTTTTTGATAAAAAAACAAATTTAATAGTAAAGATATTATATGATTTATGGAACATGCATGATATCAAATAATAAGATGGAAAAGCATGTTCTTTAAACCAAAAAAATTTCAAGAATGCATTCTTTATTTCAGCATTATAGATATAAAAACACATATACAGCCAAAAATATATTTTCTATTTATTTATTCTAAAAAAAGTTTATTTTAAAACCATATCATTTTGATTTGTTTTCGAAACTCACAATCAGAAAATATAACTGCTCCTTTTCTCAAGATAATTGAGGATTGGATGAATTTAAGATTGCAAAACTCTCAAAGCAATCCGAACAACATTATTGGGCAATATTTATGATTCTTTTAAAGCCCATTTATTTTTCAAGGAATCATTTATCTAGATAAATGTATTTATTTAGGTAAGTGTTTCTTATTCGGGTAAGTTCATTTATCCATATTATTTCTTAGATAAATAAAATGATGACATTTTATTTTTAGCCATAAAAGACCATTATCAAAAGGGTAATTTTATGTCATCCAATAACCGCTCCTATGAATTTGAAAAAAGAAGATAAATATCTCAATCAAAGGGAACCAAAATCCTATTAACCTATTTTCTTCCTCTCAAAATCCGAAAAACGAATGAGGTCTAAGACTTATTTGGAATGCCAAAAATGATATCATTCTCTCAAAATCAGAAAACGAATGAGGCCCAAGACTTATTTGGGATGCCAAAAATGATATCATTTATCGTGGGGCAAAACCATATCCGACAAGGATATTTTTTTTTTGTTCAGCTACCCCTCTATATATTATTAAATTCAAGTAGCTAGAGACACAATTCCTCTCCACTATTAATGATCCTTGATGAGGGCAGATTTGGCCCTCCAGAGAAATTGCGACACGTGGCACCTCGTGACAATTAGGCAAGTCCCCAGGCAACAACTTACCAAGTTGGTCCCCCCCCCCTCGGGCACCGGTCTGGATGGCCTGGCGCGGTCTGCGCGCGACCTGGCCGGATCAGCCTGCCACA